TCAACGAGCCAAGCCCGAGCCGAAAAAAAAAAAAGTTCGAGCTCGACTCGAGTTTTTTTGGGCCCAAGCCGAGCAAAGCCCGGCCAAAAAAATGACGCTCGGTCCGAGCCGGCTCGAGTTTTTTGATTTTTTTTTATATTGAAGGTTGCCAGCGGCATCCTTCGTAGACAGCTACAAACAGCCTTTGTAGGCAGCTAAAAGGCAGCTCTTTTAAAAAGAAATTAATTTTAATTTTAATTTTTTTTAATGGGCAGGCTCGCTAGGGCTAGAGTCGACGCCCCAGAATGGGGCTCAGCCCGAGCCTACATCGTCCAGAGTCGGGCCCGGCTCAGGCTTTTTCCAAGCCTAGCCTAAGCTGCTCGAGTCGATGAACTTTTTTACCATCCCGACGCCCTAAGGAAGCCCATCTTTTAACTACAAGTTTCAATGGCAAAGTACTCATACTCGAGATTTTAAGAACGCTATTAGAAGTTCTGTCAGACGGACATTTCTTTAGAAAACTCTTTTACAAAACAAAAATAAAAGTCTCGTCAAATGTATCCTAAGAAAGATGTAAATATATGATTTCAAAACTATACGTATAACATAACATAACATCACAGAGTTAAAATTTTGGTGGATATTATCATGTTAATCAATTCCCACTTGGACACATTGCATCACGACAACCAAATTGGGCCATACCCATAGGGGAGAATAGCTATTAATGTTGACAAAAGCAACATATAGCTCATGTTTGGTGCACGTTCTTAAGGAAAAAATGCATTTAAAATAGTGATGTGATGGAAAATATGTGATTAAAAAAAAGTTTTGAATTTGCGTGTAATATTATTTCATTGAAGATTGTGAAGTTAAAAATGATTATTGAAAGAATGCATTTTTTTTTTAAAAACGTGGATCAAACATGCCATAAATATGTATTTAGGACTCCTCTTTTTATCTTCTATGAAAAGTGTATTCCAAGGAACTTATTTTAAAGAAATATTCTTTTTAATGTTTTAAGAGTATATATGCTACCCATAATTAAAAAACTATGGACCTATGTCTACCACAGATAGTGCCAATAATTAGTGTCTAATAATTCTGTAATTCCATTCCACCCAGGGGGCGGAGCCAGCACTTTAAACTAGAGGGGTTCCGGAGTTGAAGGAGCGGGGGCTCACGGGGGTTCGGGGGCAGCGCCCCCGAATTTTTTTTTTAAATATTATCTGTTAAAATGAAGAAAGTTGGTACTTTGTGAT